TGCAAGAAAAAGAAAATAGCTGAAAAACTACGAGAATGGTGTTGAAGGTTAGAGAGAATGTTCCTTAAGTGAGAATGCCTAAATAGACAAGGAAGTTCGTCGGAAGACTCGCCGGAAAAGATTTGATAGCAAGAAAATTCGAGAGGTTTTGAAGAGTATTTTGTGAAGATAAAGGTTGAAAATGGCAAGGGTCTAGCTTTTATACCAGTAAAGGACTCAATCCTAGCCATTGGATTAAATCTCAGATAATCTGAAGCGTCCAAAAGTAAGTAGATCCGAGCCACAGATTTCGAACGGTTTATATTTTCAACGCTCCAGATTAACGCATACGTGTACCAGCATGGATTCGCGCGTAAACATGTTCCCCAAAACCACGCGTCCTAATAATTAGCCATCATTATGCATTGAATTTAAACAACTGTACGGTTATTGGAAGTCGTTTCGATGCAGTCAACTTGCCTTGGAAACATAAGAAATCGTCATGTCACAGGCACTAATAACTCTGAATGTCGCCTCGCTTCAAAGGAATCCAGCCTCGCCAGTTCGAATAGGAACTCGCCTCGCTTCAAAGAAATTCAGTCTCGCCAGTTCGAATATGAACTCGCCTCGCTTCAACTCCAAGAGAACTTCAATTTTAAAGGCAACTTTCTTAGCCTTACCCATCACACTTCTTGAATTCCACGCACAATATGAATATCTCTGCTTAGACTTGAGGGACTGATGTGAAGTACAAAAAATTAAAACTTTTTCCGACTTATTGAAAACCCACGCATGGCATGAATGACCACACATGGATTTGGGGGACTATTGTTACGAGTCATAAATGAAAGCGACACGTGGCACCATACTTTAGCAGTGGGACCAACCTAATTAAATCGGAGTATATTTTCCTAGCTTCCGACGTAGATTCTGAGGCATTGACTTGTCCCGATGCCATTATTGTTAACTAAATCCACGGTTCGATGGACATGCACCATCCGAGGCCCCTTTGTTGTAGCTAGTGGAAATCCACGTGGAAAGATATAGCAATAATGAAGATCTTTATTTCAATGATTGACGTAACTTTTGTGTAAAGTACATTTGTGTCTTGTCTTATCAATATAAGAGCATTTAATGCTTTGTAAGGTTATGAGAGTCAACTTGATAGTTAGAATTTGATGTCTTGGCCGAGGAGATGAGGCCACATGTAACTTGATCCAAAGACTACCATTTGATTTGTAACACTATAAATATCCCTACCATGTAACACAAGAAGGCTAATGCAAATTCTGAATGAACTTCTAACTACTCGGAGCTATATTATTCTCTCGTTTATCAGCATATTTCAACTACAAATCTTGTTATTTATCGATTGGTTTATTATACAATCATGTTCTAGCTATTTCGCCGGAGGCCCGAACGGGAGATGTCTCTTTTCGTTGAGCTCCTCCCATGTTCAGATTCTGGAGATATTCTGACCGTCAATCGGCACTAACATGTTGGATTTAGCTTACATGTACACGAGTGGGCCCAACATCTATGGACAACATTTTTTGGGTTCAACAAGCAGCATAGACAATTGCAGAATGCTATATAGTTCAAGAAAGTCTGAATATTAGAAAATTAATTGCAGAAAATTTTCGCCTTTCTAGATAGTTGCAGTAAATCAATCAAATGCACTAGTTGCTTATTCAATGCGTTTTTCCATCACTCTCCTTCACAATGCCGTCCAAACTCGCCTATGTCCTAAAAGATTTTAAAAAGGAAAAATCAATAAAAATCGATTGAAGGAGACCAACAATTATGTGAAATTAGGTACGACAGACACGCTTGGTGCTAGGTAGCAGGATAGTCACGGTTTGAAGATTAATAAATTATTTATTAATTCTAATGCAGTAACTTCAAATTTAGCTCTTTTTTACTATTGTTATTCAAAATTCTTTAATTCGCATACTTAGTTTCAATCATATATTTACACGATAAAATATTTTGTACATAAATTCAAAATTGTTCTTACTTTTTAATCACATATTCTATAAAAAAATCATTAATTAAAAGCTTTTTTTGAACATATTTACATAGCCCTTGTTTGATCCTCATTTTATCCAAAATACATTTTTCTGTTTTTCATTTTCAATCACACATTTTTAAATAAAATAATATTACACGTAAAATCATATTTTTTCCTTATTATTTAACCACACATTTACCATCAACTACTATTGCAAAATACATTTTATACATACAAAAAAAGAAAAAAAAAATGGGGCTCAAACGAGCCCATAATCTACATTTTGACAGTAGAATTATCTCATACTCTATATTAAATATGTCATTGTGTAAATATGTGATTGAAAATAAAAATGTAAAAAAAAAAAATGTTTTCAAATAACTATTGCGGTTACTTATCCATAGTCGAATAAGATTCCAAAATAATGTAGTTGGAACTGTTGGAAGAAATTGATATCTTGCGTCAAATGTACGAGATCACTTTACTAAAGTAAAAGCACATCTGGAAAAACTTGAAACGTACGATAATATATGAAGGTAGTACAGACACAACAACCCAAATTCATCCTCTTCTTTACCACAAAAACAAGAAATCAGCCAACAAACCCACAATTCTTGAATCAAGATGATGCATATGACCTTTTATTGGGGAAAAAGTGTGACGATCTTGTTTGATTTTTGGAAAACAGATTCATGGATCGGATATATTATTTCCCTTCTTGCGTGCTTTCTTTTCTCTGTCTTCTACCAGTACATGGACGACCGGCGCCTGAAATTTAAGCTCCTCTCTCTCAACACCAAAAACTCCTCTTCCTCCGGAGGCGACAGCGGCGGTGTCAATAGCCCTTTACTTTACTCAAAGTCTGGTGGTGGGAAATGGAGTGCATCAAGATTTGCTGGGGCGATTATGTTTGGAGTAAACTCAACTATAGGCTACTTTTTGATGCTGGCAATCATGTCCTTTAATGGTGGGGTGTTTATTGCGGTGGTTTTGGGGCTGGCGATTGGGTATTTGGTTTTTAGGAGTGGTGGTGATGGGGAGGAGGTAGTGGTGGCTGATAATCCATGTGCTTGTGCTTGATTAAAATCTTGAAAATTCATTATCTGCTGGTGTGTGTTTTATATGTAATTAATATCATATGTTATGTATTATCTGAGTACATCATGTAAAGAGTTTATTTCCATTTTCATGATTGGATTTAGAGTTGATTGATCTTTTTATACATATATTTTGCAAAAAGATTGAGATTATAGAGTCTAGCCGCTGCTATTTGGGTTAGTTGACAAAGTTTGTTAAGAATTTTAAAGATGGATTAATCTTCTCTTGCTTACGGTCCTCTCTGGACATCCGGTTAGCCATCTTTGAACGCTCACAAGACTCATCAAAAGGCATTTTCGTCAATACCAATTGATAAAATCACATCGAGTACAATTTATTGTTAAAAGAAATGTTTTACTTAAAGAGCATAAAAGTTTAGTGTTATCGCCAACCTTAGCAGAAGGCATGGAAGAATTTTTTAGACGCATTCAAGTTGAATGACCTTGAATGGGGTCCTTGCTTGTTGAAGTATGTTCCTTATCAAGTGGGATAAGATCAGGAATTGAGTTTGGTGACAGTAAACTTCAGGAATATTTCACAAATACCCTACTGTGAAACAAAAATAAAAAATATTGAGGTGCCAAAAGAATTTGAAAAATACCGTGTTACTTGTCATTACAGCAAAAGATGACACGATACACCTAAATTCATTTCAATCAGGATAAATAATGTACACATAGCTCAAAAGGGCAAGCTGGGGAAAAACTCTACTTAGCCTTTCGATTAAATTGGACCCTGTTACTGTACAATCGACAGTTCATCCTAGCTCTACGTATCACCTCTAGGACTAATGACAATGAGCAAAACTTACAACTTTATGATGCCTCGCCTTTGAATAACCATTCCTAAGCTGATCCAACATTTTCTACGTATAAACAGGAAAAAGCTATACCCAACCAAGCAGTTGAGCAGCGTAGGTGCCTTGCATATTATGATAGGACGGATATTGTTCACTTCGGTTGTTGCACCAGAAACTGTGCTGAAGGATATTCTGACAAGAACTTTGGAACCTCTATATCTGAATGATCTATAGCAGGAATGGCCATATAAACATCTTCAGTTAAGAATGGAATGCTGCAACAGAGACGATGAGCGATTACAAGAAAAAGTGAGAATTATGATTACAAAATGTTCCAGGGCATCTTATATAATATGAAGGTAGGGAACATAATTTATGGCCACAAGAGCCTCTAGTCATGATGTGAGGTAAGAGCTGTGTGCCATCATATAGACACGTTTTAATGTCACTAGACTATCCGAAATACAACACTTCATGATGATCATAATTTGTCTTCCTCTTATCTATAAATGAATGTGATCACATAAGGGTAGAATCAGAGTAAGTGAATACAATGGCTGGAAAAAAAATCAAGTTTGTTCCGGAATTTATAACTACAGCTATATGTGCAAGTAATACATAATGGGTGAAAAACTATGACCAGTTATTGAACTTGTAACCAAATTTCAATTGGAAACTGTACTCCATATTTTCATAATTTAGTAACTTGATTCATTTTTTCTTAATCAAGTCACTCCCTCCAAATCCGTTGGTTCACAAATGAGAAAAAGAGATTGTCGGTCTATGTAGCATAATCAAGGAATACTACCTCATCATTGATTTGTATCAATATTTGCCTTCATTTTGACACATTTTTCCATTTAACAAAGTAGTGGACTGAGTGACTTGATAAGGGCATGTCTGGAATGGTGTTTATAAACAGGAATAAATGAGTCGTGGAAAAGTGGGTAGTACTTGTGGATACGACGAAATGTGTGATTAAAAAGTGGTTTGATAAAAAATTCTTTTGACCAAGATGTTTATAAAAACCTAGAATCACTTATCCAAACATATGCTAAGACGAATTTATATTAGGGAAAATTGCAACCACGGTACCAAAATTTAAATTCTTTTGACCAAGATGTTTATAAAAACCTAGAATCACTTATCCAAACATATGCTAAGACGAATTTATATTAGGGAAAATTGCAGCCACGGTACCAAAATTTTCAACTTTTTGCGCCCAAACCTTTGTTTTATGCCACCCACGGTACCAAACCTTTAAATAATTCGCACCTGAAAGTCCAAATGGACGGTTTCCGTCCAGTTGACCACGAAAACCGTTAGTTGACCTCAGAAATAAAAAATATATATAATTTCCACCAAATAGGCAAGGGAAATTTCGGAATTACACACAATTTCCACCAATTAAGTTAAAGAGAAATTAAAAATCCCAAAAATAATTAAAAAAAAAACTGTTCATCTCCTTCCTCACCTCACCCCACGCCACCCCACAAAAAATCAACCACCATCCAATCACTGCCAACCACCACCACCATCGCCTCCTCCCACCACCACCACCACCGTAAATTATTTCGTTTATACCTTCATTCTTGCTTCGCTCCTCTTCCTAAGAGAAAAACCCTGCAAAGTACCCTATCATGGTCGCGTGAAGACCGGCGGTCCAAGTCACGGTCGGAAGAAGAAAAGGGTTTTGATTCATTGTTGCTTTGAAGAAAACATTCGGCTTTGCGTTGAAGGGCAAGTTGTTCTCGCTGTGCTTTGGAGAGAGATACAGGTTTCTTTGCCCCATCAAGCTTCTCCGTGACGTCGTCTCCACCCCTCTTCATCTCTTCCTATCGAATTGAACTTCGAAGCAGAGTATTTAGGGTTTGGGTTGAGAAATTTGTGAAACTAGTGAAAGTGATTTGGGGATTTAGAGTTCAGATTGCTAGCGCTTCAAGGTTTATCTAGATCCGATTCCGATTGTTTTCCCCCGACTCCTTTTGAGAAATAATGGGAGGAGGCGGCGGCGGCGGCGGCGATCGGCGGTGGCTGGATGCTGGTTGATTTTTCATGGGGTGGGGTGGAAAGGAGATGAACAATTTTTTTTTAAAATTATTTTTGAGATTTTTAATTCATTTTTAACTTATTTGGTAGAAATTGTGTGTAATTCTGAAATTGCCCTTGCCTATTTGGTGGAAATTATATATTTTTTTTTATTCTGAGGTCAACTAACGGTTTTCGTGGTCAACTGGAGTTTGGTACTGTAGGTGGCACAAAACAAATGTTTTGGCAAAGTCTGCAAAAAGTTGAAAGGTTTGATACCGTGGCTGCAATTTTCCCTTTATATTAAGAAAATGAATTTCCATGACCCAATTGAAACTGGGCAGGGGCCATGAAGAAAAGAATGTAGGTAGGCGGATATCCACCCGCTTCTATCCGACAGGTAAAGAGAGAGGCTCACTCAAGCTGGACAGATCCCCCATGTGGGGGACTGATCGCTATGCTACTTTCTTCTTTCTACCTCTGCTACCAAAATTGATATATAGCCATCTCAAATTTGGTGCAACACTTCAAGCAATGACCATAAACTGAATGAAATTATAGCAACAAACATCTCATTTCTCAATTCTCATAATACTTAGCATAAATATCTCATTTTTCAATTCTCATAATACTAAACATAAATCTGTGACATAAAATAGTAAATTATTGCACTCAAGATGATAGTTTAAGCTTCTTACCTAAGATCATCATCCAGTAGAAATGAATTTGATGATATATTTTGGGAGTCCTTATTTACAATCTCCCTCATCTGGGAAACGACCTGGCAGAAAAAGGGGAAAAAAAAGCAGCAGCTGCTTTATCACTACATTGACACATAATGGCACCAAATTCTTAATGCTTTTCTGTTTTTTATCCTTAGTTGGGAAGGGTGGCCAACGGTATACAGGGGGAAAAATTAATGCTATTTGAGGTTTTCATAACCCAGTCACGTTAGATCTGCCAGAGCTGAAGAGCTCCATAGTCCTAGGGGTGAAATTGTCAAAAAGCAATAACAAGCTAACCACTTGCCTCATTTGACACACTTTGAGTCCCATACTTATCATCCCAATACATGGTACTTATCCGATAGATTTGTCTAACAGTCAATGCCTGCCACAAAAATTGGGAGGAGAATGGAGCACGGATAAAAGCCACATAAAGCAAAGAAAAAAGTGAAAAATGAGGTGAGAGCTTAAGCTACTTAAGAAGGCCATACCGGACAGAGATCTTGCCTTATCTCCTCTAAAGATTTTTTCCTCTTTTGATGTATTACCTAAACGGATAGAAGAGAGTTAAGAGAACTGCACATTAAAAATTTGAACTCTGAAGAAGAATAAAGTGGCATTATGAATTATTACCAGAAATCCAACAGCTTGACGAATGTAATTTAGCTCATGCCAAGAGGTTCCAGCAAACTGCATTGAATAATAACTCAACCTATACATACATACAGTAGCACTACTGACTTTCATTCAAATAAAAGGGTACATTTGTAAATACCTCCTCCTTCGCATTGACTATCCATTTTTCTAGTTCTGCCAGTCCAGATTTGACATATTCTCCATTTGAAAATGTGCAGCATTCACGTCGAAGCAGAAGGCTGGCACGGAAAATCACGAAATTGAGTGAATTTTGGGTTGATTTCGTGGTGGTGGTGTAGGTTGAGGGGAAGAAAATGGGGAGTAAAGCACAAAATTAGTAATGTACCTGTTAAACAGTGATATATTGATGAAAGAGAATACTTGGGTAATGAGCTTCCGGATGAAAAATGAAGGAACCTGGAAATGGATTATATTCACAGCATATCAATACAGGGAACGGTGCTATGGATCAACTTCAAAACGAATTTATCCCCAAAGACATA